CCTCCTCCTCCTCCTCCTCCTCCTCCTCCTCTCGTGGCCAGAAACATGTGAAAACACGTGCCGCAAAAGCACGTGTGCCGAGACCGTTGGAGACCCCCCCTCCTCCGCACACGTGTCTGCACGTGTGCCAAGTCCGGCGCCCGCTGCTCGACGCCCTTTTTTGGTGGTGGCCCGCACGCTGCAAGAGAACCCCGGGCCAGAATCCTTACCGGAATAATGGGTTCTCGCTTGAAACATCCACACGCTGCTTGAAGCTTTGACGGCCACAGGCTGGCAAACCTATGAACGCTACACTGGAGGGCGGTTCTTTTTCAGAGTCGAATAATGGGTTCTCGCTTGAATCGGGAGCCTTGAGACGGGGGTCAATCCAGACGGGGGTCAGCCAGGGCGCCAGATCCTGCAGGATCCTGCGAAGATGCCCTCTGGCTGACCCGGGTCTGGGAGCCGCTCGTGGCCGCGAGGCGGCCGCACCTATTGGCTGGCCCGGGTTTGCGAAGACCTGCGTTGCAGTTTTGTTTTCCTGCATTGCAGTTTTTGGTTTCCTGCTGACCCGGGTCTGGATTGACCCGGGTCAGAAGATCCCCGATTGAAGCATCTTCACGCTGCTTGAAGCTTTGACGGCCACAGGCTGGCAAACCTATGAACGCTACACTGGAGGGCGGCTCTTTCTCAGAGTCGAACGGGGTTCCCGCGGGAGACTTCCCCGCACTGATGACCAGAAGTGTAAGAGCTTGTGCAGCCGTTACACGGATTGGGGGCGGCTCGTTTTGAAAATGGGGCTCTCGTTTGGCACCTCGTTGGATTGTGGCAGCGCCTTCTCGCATGTAATCCGGCTCGCCAGAGGGGTGGAATTCAGCTCGTTATCAAGGGTGGGCCTTCGCCTGAATGGTCGGGCCATCGGGCGTTCGTCTTTCAGTGGGGCGCTTCTTGCAGTGATAAGGGGCCTGTAGGGGTTCATGGGACGCGAGGTTGTATTTCAGCATCGTTGGGACATCCTGGGTTTAGTCTGGCCCTCCTCCTCTCACTCCTCCTCCTCCTCCTCGTCACCCTGCTCCTTCATTCCTTGACACACCCCTCCCTCCTCCCTCCCCTCCCTTCTACCTCCGCCCTCCTCCCTCCCTCCTCCTAGTCCTCGTCCTCCCTCGCTCCCTCCTCGTCCCACCCTCCCACCCTCCTCCCTCCTCCATCCTCCCTCTTACCTCTCTCCTCCTCCCTCCCCCTTGTCCCTCCACAATCAAACAATTTGAATGCTGCTCGCCCTCCTCCCCTGAAGTTGTCCGGAAGATCTCCCGCCCCCTCCGCGTGCTATTTTTACATAAGTATATAGGTATAAGCATGACTGCAAACATTTATGTTTCTGATGTTTGCTAGCAGTCTGATTGTTTTCGGTGTTTCACAAAGGTGCTCCCGCTGCAGCGTGGGCCTTGCTCTTTCTCGGACCGGCGCTTTGCTCCCGCCGTTCAGGCTGACGAACTCACCCCAGCGCGGGCGACGTTTCTGGATCCGAGTCTTGCTTCATTGTGGTCCCCCCCTTCACTTCCCCCCTCCCAATTCCCCTGGTCCTCCTGTTACCCCCGCTCCGTCCGCTCCAGTTCCTGCATCTGCCGTTCGTCTCGCCCCAACGCGGGCAACTTTCCAGATTCCGAGTCTGCATCTTTGTCGCCCCCCTCAAATCCCCTCCCCTCCTCCGCTTTCCCTTGGTCTTCTTTTTCCTACAGGCCCGTGCGCTTTCGCTCCTGCTGCTATTGTTCGTCCCCTATCCTTTTCCTCCCGCTCATCCTCCTGCTCGCCCACCGCCTCCTTCTCCTCATCCTCCCCTTCCTCCTCCTCCTCCTCCTCCTCCTCCTCCCTCCCTCCCTCCTCCTCCTCCTCCTCCTCCTCCTCCTTCTCCTCCTCCTGTGTACGCAGCTACCTTGTGTTCCGATTGCGCATCGCACGGACTGGTCTTTCTGTAGGGGTCGCAGGTCGGCTATGACACGCGTAAACTCAGCGCCATGGGAAGGTATGGGAGGGAGGGATACGATGTCAGATTAGGTTCCTTCGCTCCTAGCTTGCTCCTCCCCCGCCTCTTCCTCCTCCCTCCTTCCCCTCGCCTCCTCGTCCCTCGTCCTCACTCGATCCCTCCTTCTCGCCCCCCCTCCCTCCCTCCCTCCCCTCCCCCCTCCTCCCTCCTCCTCCTCCTCCTCCTCCTCCTCCTCCTCCTCCTCCTCCTCCTCCTCCTCCTCCTCCTCCTCTTCCTCCCTCCTGCCTCTGCCTCCTTCCTCCCTCCTCCCTCGTCCCTCCTCCCTCCTCCCTCCCCCCTCCCCCCATCCTCCCTTCTCCTCCTCCTCCTCCTCCTCCTCCTCTTCCTTACTCGTCCGCCCTCCCTGCCTACTGGCATTCCCCAGTCGGCTGCCCACAGTCACGCCTACAGGCCCCCTCCTGCCTAGAGGCACTCCTCCTCCTCCTCCTCCTCCTCCTCCTCCTCCTCCTCCTCCTCTCTCCTCCTCCTCCTCCTCCTCCTCCCCCCCCTCCTCCTCCTCCTCCTCCTCCTCCTCCCTCCTCCTCCTCCTCCTCCTCCTCCTCCTCCTTCCTCCTCCTCCTCCTCCTCCTCCTCCTCCTCCTCATCATCATCATCATCCTCCTCATCCTACCCCTTCTTCTTTCCCTGCGTACAGACACGCCTGCAGGTCCTGCCTGTCTACAGACACGCGCAAAGGCCCTCCCTGCCTGCATGCACCAGCGCTCTCCAGCTCAACGGCACTGCCATACGGCGCGATCCGCGGGGCTTTTCTGGTTGCGAGGGCCTTTAGAGCCTGTAGGACGGAGGCGTCCGCAGACGGGAGGAGTGCCGCGTATACGCGGAACCAAGCCGATGGGCCACAGTCCATGTGTCCCTCCTCCCTCCATCCTCCCTTCCTCCTCTTCCATCCTCCTCCTCCCTCCCCCATCGTCCCTCCCCCTCCCTTCTTCCCACCTTCATCGGCTCCTCCGCGCGGAGATGCGCGATGTTGACATCGGCGGGTCGTTCTCTCTGCTGCGCTCGCTCGCTCCGTCCTCCCTCTTCCCCCATCCCTCCCTCCTCTCCCTCCCTCTTCCTCCTCCTCCTTTCCTCCTCCCCCCTCCCACCCTCATCCCTCATTCCCAGCTCACCTCCACCCCCCTTCCTCCCCCCTATCCGTCCTCCCTCCCTCCTCCCCACCTCCCTCCCCCCGTCCTTTCCCCTTTCCACTGCTGGGGAGGCATGTAAGGGAGGGATTCGGTGTGAGAGCACCCAGCACGCCTGCAGATCGAGTTTGTGCCCGTCGCCGCCTCGTTCCTCCTCCTCCTCCTCCTCCTCCTCCTCCTTCTCCTCCTCCTCCCTCCGACCTCTTCCTCCCCCTCCTTTCCCTCCTCCTCCCCCTTCCCTTCGTCGATACGCCTCTTCTTCCTTCGCCTCATCCTGCTCCCCCGGCCCCCCTCTTCTGCTCCGCCTCCTCCTCCCTCCCCCTCCCCCTCCCGCCCTTCCGCCCCGTCATCCTCTGCCGCAGCACGGGCCAACATCGCCCCCCTCGCAAAGGTCCGTCGTCGTCGTCGTTGTCGTCGTCGTCGTCGTCGTCGTCGTCGTCGTTCCCGTCGTCGTCGTCGTCGTCGTCGTCGTCGTCGTCGTCGTCGTCGTCCTCGACCTCGTTCTCGTCGTCGTCGTCGTCGTCGTCGTCGTCGTCGTCGTCGTTCGTCGCCGTCGTCATTGCCGTCCATCGTTCAACGATCGAGGTTTGAGGCTTCTCGATCTTTCAGCCCTTTCCTTTCCTGTGCCTCTGGCGGGCCGGCGGGCCCCGAGGGGAGGGGCCGAAGCCTCCAGAGGTCCACGTCGAAGGTCCGGGCAGCCTGGGGCCTGCAGCAGAGGGAGGTGGCCCAGGCCCCGGGCGTCGCGCACGCGCCGCAGCGGGCGCTTGGCCTCGCTGCTTCAGAGCTTGGGCTCCTCGGGCCTCGGTCGGGCCAGGCGCCCGCAGCAGACGGCGGGCGGCGCCAGGCCAATCCCAGAAGTGCGCTCGCGAAGCAGGGGCCCAGCGCTGCCGGCTCCATAAGGGCATCATCGCCGGCGGGTCGAACGATGCACTTCCCACCCCTCGACGGAGGCCTGAGGAGGGTCCGCGGAAGCCGGCGGAAGCCGATCGCGGGCAGGTCCGCCAGCGGCAGCCAAGGCAGCCAGGGCAGCCGCCTCAGTGAGATCAGCTCCGTTCCAGCGGGCTCAGTTGCCTCTGGAATTTGGCGCATAGCGAAAGGAAGCACGGCGTCTGAGGCGTGGCGTCGCCACCGTCAAACGCCTATCGTCGCCCTCTTGCTCGCTATCCTCTGGGAGAGGCGGCCTGGCGGATGCTGCGCGGGGGGAAGGGGGGAGGGGTCGTTTGGGTAGCCCCGTGCTGTTGGGGTCCGTTGAGGGTTGTAAGCCCGCCACAAAATAGGCGCACAGACAATGGCGAGGTTTAAAGAGGATAGACATGCAGCTGAATCCATGCGCCTCGATTGCCTTCGTGCCCAGTCAGGTTCACTCTAAGCCTTGTTTTGCCCTGACGTTAACACGAATGGCACTGCGGTGCACCATGGTATAGTATGCACGTCGAGTGAGAAATCGGCCTTCCAGAAGTGGCTGCGCGGAAGTTTAGTATCCCCCGGTGTCCTCGGGCACCCACAGCCTAAGACACCACAGGAGGAAGTTCAAAGATCGGCGTTGCGCCTAGGCCATGCGGTTAGGACCCACTACCTAGCGTGAAGCACCGTGGGCTCCAGCCCGCCATGCGTCGGCGCGACACGCCCACCACGTCCCAGTTCCCCAAGCGTCAGCGTCCAGAGCTTTTCCCAGCCTCACGCCCCGCGGAGCGGAGCGACACGCTGTCCGATTGCAGGAAATCGTGTGCCACACTGGCCACCGCCGCGACACGCTAGGCAGACGTTCCCGACCCTAGATTCCTGATCGCAGGATCGCTTGTCGTACTCACTGTCGACCATGCCCGCCGCCCATGCCGCGTCCGCGTCACCAGGCCGACGCCGCGGTTGCTGTTGCGAGGGGGCCAGGCGGAGCCGGCGCCGCCTCGACGTCCCAGGCGAGAAGTGGGAGGAGGGGAGGAGGAGGAGGAGGAGGAGGAGGAGGAGGAGGAGGAGGACGAGGAACGCCCTGAACGGGCACACGTTGCTGCGTCGGCCATCAGGTGGCAGCCCCGCCGCGCATGGCGGCGGTAAGACGACACGCGTGCCTGCCTCGGCCACGCGCGAGGAGGGCGAGGAGAAGGAGGATGAGGGGGAGGAGGGGGAGGAGGAGGAGGAAGAGGAGGAGGAGGAGAAGGAGGAGGAGGAGGGACATGAGAGGGAGGACGGAGGGTCAGAAAGTGTCGAAACTCCCAGATTTGCCAGCATTGGAATTCCGTGAACATTAAGTTATGGAATTCTCCCCCCCGCGCGTTGGCCGGTGAATAGGCCCCGCTGGCGGCGTCATTTGTTTGTTGAACCACGTGCGCCAAGTGATGGCGCGTGGCCCATCGTGGATGAATGTAGACCACGCGGCGCCTCCGAGCGGGAGCAGACGTGGCGCAGTGCATGGTGCATCTGTGAGCGCTGTTGTGTGTGTGTGTGTGTGAGAGAGTTTGCGCCCTGTCCGTTCTCTTCGTCCTCCCTCCTTTCCTCCCTCCCTGTCCCGACCTCCTCTCCCCTCCCTTCCACCCCGTCCCCCCCGTCCCTCCCTCTCCCGACCTCCTCCACCCCGTCCCCCCCGGCGCCCCGAGCAGCTGGCGGTAGAGGCTCCGCGCCAGGGGCGCGCGCGGGGCGCAGCAGCGGCTCCGAGGGTGCAGCAGCTGGCGCCCCTGGGTGCTCCTCGGTGCGCGGCAGCGGCGGCGTGGGAGCTCGCCTGTGCCCTCCGCTCCCCGCGCCCCCGCTGGCCGAGGCCCTCCGCGGCGGCGGAAGCGCCGGCCGAGCGCCTTCCCGGCGGTCGGGCGCCCGCGCGCAGTGTTCTCGAGCGGCGCGCCGACGCAGGGCGCTCCCCGGCGACGCTGCGCGCGGCCCGCTCTCCGCGGACTCGGGCGGCTCTGACGAGAGGCGCGGGCGACCGCGGAGCCTTGCGCGAGGTGTTTTTTGTTTGCATGCGCAGTGTCTCTACGCAGTGCGTTCGGGTAGCACGCCGGCAGCGGGGCGCTCCTGCGGCGTTCCAGCGACCCGCTCGCTGCGGACTCTGGCGACGCCGACGAGACGCGCGGACGACCGTGACGTTTGCTCGGGGTTCGTTCTTATCCTCGTAGTGTTGTTTCACGATGTATTCTCGAGTAGCGCGCCGATGCATGGCGCTCCACCGGCCCGTTCCCTGCGGACTCGTGTGACGCTGACGAAAGACGCGCACGACCGTAGCGTATGCGCGTTGCTTTACCTGTTCTGCGCAGTGTGTTGAACGTGGTGTGTTCGAGTAGCGCGCCGGCGCAAGGCGCTTCTGCGGCGCTCCAGCGGCCCGCTCCTTGCGGACTCGGGCGACGCTCGCCGGAGACGCGGGCAACCGCGGCTTTGTCGCGTGGCTTTTCCTGTTTTGCGCAGTGCTTTTATGTTTGTGGAGGACGATCAATGGAGAGGAATTATGTTGCCAAATAATTTCCAGATGTCTCAAACATGTGTCAAATCTGTTTTAGAATGTAGAACACGTGTTTAAAACATGTTCATGACATTTCCCCGACATTTTCAACACATTTTGCATTCAATGATAGGACTGCTAGGGTGTCCATTGTCGTGGCATCCGCAATTTTATGCAGTGCTTCCGAGTCGCGCGCCAGCGCTACGGGGCTCCTGTCGCGCTCCAGCGGCCCGCTCTCCCTGCGGACCTGGGCGACGCTGACGAGGGACGCGGACGACCGCGGCGTTTGCGCGTGGCCTGTCCTGCTCTGCCGCAATGTTTTCACGCAGTGTTTTCGAGCAGCGTGCCGGCGCGAGGGCGCTTCTGCGGCGCACCAGCGGCCGGCCCGCCCCCTGCGGACGGAAGAACACGAGGGTATCGCCGCCAGCCCATGCAGAAACGATGCCCAGGCGAGTTTTCCCCGATCGGGGACGTGGAGCAGCGCGGGATACTTTCACGAAAACTCTTCGCAAATATACCACGTAGAAGCACCACGCCCAAACCCTACGCAAAAGCAGGACGCACAAACGCGGCGCGAAAGCATTACGCCAAAACGCGGCGCAAAAACACCACGTAAAATCACGACGTAAAAAAACATGACGCAAATGCATGCTTTCACACTTGGGCGCACCTCTCAGGTAAGCAGCCCGCCCGAATGTACTAGGATCTCCACGCAGGCCTAGTAAGGACTAGGATGTACTAGGATGTGCTAGGATCTCCACGCATCGCCCCTGAGCGTCCCGGAACGCTCTCAGAGCGTTTTCGCAGCGCTCTGCAACGTCCGTGGCGCCCGCAGCGTCCTCCAGACGTCGTCGGCGACGAGCATCTTATCCGTATCCGCGGCCTCGCGGGCCGGGCCCCTGGGCCTCGACCCTGCGGATGCGAGGCATCTTGTCGCGGATGCCCGGCGCGGGACGTCCCCGTGCGACCGCGCACCCTGCTGATTGCGCCACGGAGACCCGACCGAGAGGGCTCGGATCCGGAGGCGTCCGACGCCCGTGCAGACCCGCCAACCCTCAGAGGCTCCCGACCTGCCGCTCCTCGTCCGCGTCTGCCCCCGTCCTGCCTCCCCCTCGGACCAGGCTCCGCCCCCGTCTCGGCAGGCGCCCCTGCCTCCGGCCCGGGCCGCTCCCGCAGGCCCGCGGGCAGGGAGCCTGCCCGCGAGGCCTCGAGCCCGCAGTGCTTACAGAGGGGCCCAGGGACACACAACTGAATACACACAAGTAAAAAGATTCCCCATACTTTCCCATATTTTCTCTGTTTTCGTCTTCCCCCTCACTTCCTATAGTTTCCCTTATTTTCTTGGGAATCGACGATTAATTGTGTCTGTGTCTTTTTTTCCCTCCTGAATGATGGCGCGTCGCGCGTTGCGGCCTGGGCCGGCTCAGGTGCCCTCTCCTCCAAGGCGGCCGCGAGGGCGCGAAGATTGCCGCGTACCGCGCAGGCGCGGCGCGCGAAGCCAGGGATCAAGCAGTGGCGAAGCGTCCTGGCTCGCCTATAGCCCTACCAAGCAATGTTCTGAGAACCTTTCGTGGCTCCCACGAAATGTTATTAGAACACTTCTGGCTGGGACTGTTTTGTTTTGACACATCGGGTTCATGTTCTAAGAACATCGTTTTTGTTCTTAGGACTTTTTTGGGTTCTAAGAACATTTCGTGGTATGACTATAGGAATGCCGGGACGGTCGGTCCCTGCTCAAAGGGAGCCTGGGAACAGCCGCTTCGCTCCTCGGTGGGCGCTCCTTCGGGCAGCGTCCCCCCGAGTGGAGAGCTGGCCGTCTCCACGCCGAGAGCCCCCTCGGCCGACCAGGCGACTGGGTCCGCACTCCGGGGCACGGACCGCTGCCTAGGGCTCAGGGCGGGGAGCCTGCCTGTGAGGCCTCGGGCCCGCCCTGGCCAGAGGAGACCCTCTACTCGAGCCAGCGTTCTCCTCTCCTTCTGTACTCCGGGGCACGGACCGCTCCCTCGGGCTCAGGGCGGGGAGCCTGCCTGTGAGGCCTCGGGCCCGCCGTGGCCAGAGGAGACCCTCTGCTCGAGCCAGCGTCCTCCGGCGCCTGGGGCCCTTCTCTCGCTTGCACCGCTGTCCTCGGGCCCGCCGTGGTCAGAGGAGACCCTCTGCTCGAGCCAGCGTCCTCCTCTCCTGGCGCCTGGGGCCCTCCTCTCGCTTGCACCGCTGTCGCTTGCCGGCAGGCTCGTTCTTGGAGGGGCGTGTGCACTGGCGTGATTTCCCCCTGCCGTCTCCACGGGTGGGCCTCGCGCGGCCCCCGCGCGCGATCGGACCTTGTTGCCTTGCTGCTGCCGCCGCTGCTGCCCGCGCGCTGCACCTCGCCTCCGCCGCCGGGCGCTCCGCCCTGCTCTGGCGGCCTGGTCACTGCGGCTCCCCGGCTGGCTGCAGAGCTCCTGCCCGGCGCCTGGCCGCACTCGCGCGGGATTGGTCCCACCGCCGCCTCGGTGCACACCTCGGTAAACCCGCAGGGTAAGGATGGGCAACCTTCCCAAGGGTACTTTTGAATCCTTGCCTCCTCGGCCCGTCCTTGGCCACTTTTGCTGGTCGCGCCCGGCTCGGAAAGCTCCGAGATGGCCTTCCAAGGCCCTTGCATCCTTATCGCGCATCCTTACTATACGGGCTGACTGTATAAAGAGCCGACCGTAGGTGTCAGCACCTGGCAGCGTCGACGAATGCACAGGAAGTAGCAGATGCCCAGCCAGTTCAAGCGACAGGAGATGCAGACCAGCTGCCCTGGCTCATGTGGCCACATGGGCTCTGAGGAGAAGCTGCCTGGACCTAGGAGACATCCCGCCCCCGCCCCCTCCTCCTCCTCCTCCTCCTCCTCCTCCTCCTCCTCCTCCTCCGCCTCCTCCTCCTCCTCCTCCTCCTCCTCCTCCTCCTCCTCCTCCTCCTCCTCCTCCTCCTCCTCCCCCCCTCTGGCAGCACGGCGGCCCATGAGGACCGCGCCCGCCCCCCCCGCGCGGAGGCCTCCCCCAAGAGCGGCTGCTGGCCTGCGAGGCCGCGGATACAGATATGGTTTGCGCCCATGCCTCAGAGTTCGGATTTGTGGGTCGAATCATACGAAGAAGAGGTACCGATACCGCTACACTGGCTCGCTTTCGCCTTTTTGGGCCTCCTGGGGGGCCCTCGTCGCCACTGCTGGATTCGCTTCGAAATCCGGGTCAGAGCGCACCATGGGAAAGGTCTGGGGAGTAGTGGTATCGTTACCTCCGTGGGTTTGGCCAAGAGTTCGGATTTGGGGGTTGCAAGTCTCTCGCAGCGTTAGGTTCAAGATTGGCAGAGCTTGGAATCGCGGAGGCAGTTACGTGAGGCGGCAGCTCGCGGAAGGTAGGCATAATATTGTGGAAGGAAAGCAACAGATGAGCAGGAAATTCGAAGTACCGTTTTCGACACATGTCGCACCAATGATGCCCCCAATTGTGTTTCTGACCCAAGTCCATGCTGTTTTGCACACCGTCTTATTTTTTCCGTATTATTATTATGGTTCTTCTTCTTCTTCCAAGTATGATTCATTTGTTTCGTATCCTTCCTGTCCTCCACATGGGTTCGTTTGGCGATCTCTCCTGCTCCCCTGCCTTCCTCCTCCTCTCGTCCCCCCTCGCCCCTCTCACTCCTCCCTCATCTCGCCTCCTCCTCGCCTCTCCTCTTTCCCCGCCCCCTCCGCGGGACCCCCCTCGGCAGGTTTTGGGCCCGGGGCTCTGACCTGGGCGTCGGCCAGCACTGCCTTCGGCCGTCCCTGGCCCGCTGCTCGGCCTCTGGGGGCCTCCGCCTCCCGCCGCGCCCTCGATGCCCAGCGCACGGCAGGGTTGTGTCGTGTCGACCTGGCGGCGACCCCGCCGCTGGCGTTCAGTGTTGAATCCGGAGGAAAAGAAGCACACAGACACAATGAATCCAGGATCCCCCAGAAAGTGTGGAAAAATATGGGAGGTGGGCGGGAAGACAGAAACCCAGAAAATATGGGAAACAATGGGGAATATTTTTATTTGTGTGTATTTGTGTGTCCCAGGGCCCCTTCAGTTGAACGCCGCGGGCGTCCCAGAGGCGGCCGATGTTGAACGATCTGACGTTCCGGAAGGGGCGGATCCCGTTCCAGGGCGAGCGATATATCCGCGGTGTCAGGAGCCAGCGCCCGGGTGCCGGCACGGCACGGACCTGGCCGTACAGGGAAGAGGAGTGCGGCCAGGAGGGGGCGAGCCGTTGGAGGCCCGGGCGCGATGGCCCTAGCAGCAGGAGGTCCTTTCTGCGCTGCGGGCGCCCTGCGCCTACAGCACACCTTTTCCACCAGGCCCGCGCGGCTCCGGGATCCTCGTCGGTGGGGTCGTGTCTCCTCCTTCCTTGTTCCCGAGATCCGACGTTCCAACACAAATTGGGGCGGCTCGGGAGTGTGAAAAAACGGCTCGGGACGAGAAAACCAGCCTTGGGGAAGTGGTCCGGACCTCCAGGGCCTACGCATCGGAAAATTGGAGCGGCCAGATGTCTGGGTTCCCTGTTCCCTCGGCGTCCGTCTTTGTCTTTTCTTTCGTCTCTTGCTCTTCCGCTTCGTGCCTGTATTAGCTTTGGGTGCAGCTCACCGCTCGCTTTGACCGGCGCCCTGGCGCCCGCGGACTTTAAAAAGTTCCCTCGGCGTTGCGCAGGAGCGGGGTGCCTCTGAGGGGGGAGATGCGACACCGACACCAGCAGGGGGGCCACCGCCAGCGAGGAGGTCCACGATGCCTCCCCGAGGAAGGAGGAGGCTGGGGATGTCTCGAGCGAGAGGGGGGGAGAGACCGCACCACAGGGGAGACCCCCTCTGCTCCTCGCACCTCCTCGCCCTGGTGGTGCTGCTGTCGCCCTTCCTTTGCTCCGACTCGGGGCGTTCTTGGGCGGTTTGGGCACCTCGGGGGCCGTCCTGGCCCCCTCGCGGGCCGCCTTGGAGCCCTCTGGGGGACATCCTCGACTGGATTGGGTGCCTCTTGGGCCGCCTTGGACGCAGTGGACGCCCAAAAGGCCAACGCGCCAAAAACATCAGATGCCGGCGCCTTTCCGGGGGCGACGCCCCGCTCTGCTTGCCAGGGGGGCGCCGGCCCCCGGCCGTGCCTGGCGCGCGGCCTGCCCCGGGGCGGCCCGGGCCCCTCGGGAGCGCGGGGCCCCCGCCGGAGAGAGCCCGCGGGGGGGAGGGGGCGCCTCGCGGCGGCCAGGGGGGGGCTCGATCGCGCCCGAGCGGTGTCGCCCGTTGGATCCCAGGTCGGAGGAGGAGGGAGTCTCGAGAGTGAGGCGCTCCAGGACGTCGAGGACCCCCAGAGGTCTGCGATCTTTCCCTGCTGCTCCGCGCGGGTTCCGGTGCAGCGGCGAGGGCCGCCAGGCACTCCCGGAACTGCTGGAGCCAATCCTATCCATCACGACCCCGTTGGCCTCGCTCGCGCTGCGGCCTCGCTCGCGCTGTGACCTCGCTCGCGCTGTGGCCTCGCTCGCTCTGCGCGTTCGGGATAACCCCCATTGAGGAGTACTGGGTTCCTCTTTGTCTTCTGGTTTGCTGCTGAAAAAAAAAAACAACCATATCACGACCTCGTTCTCGTCCTCTCCAAGGGGGGCGCCCCTTCCGCAAGGAAGGGGGGGGGCGTCTTTGCAAAGGCACGCGAGCCCTGGCCCTCCCCGCGTCGCGGGGGGGTCTCGACATAGGAGGTTCCTGGTCGTTTTCGGCCTCTGCGGGCCTTCGCAGGGCCACGGGGCTAGTCCAAAACGGCTCAGGATGAGAGGCAGGTCTTGGGTAAGTTGTCGAGATGACCAGAGGCCTGGCGCGGACCAAACACACAACGTCGGAGGGTGGTCCAGGATGGGGAGGCCTGGGGCAGGGTGGTGTATTGCAGCATCGTGAGCGCATCGTGGCTGCAATCGCGAATGTTCATAGATAGGCTCGTGGGGCAGCTCGTGTTACGCCTTTCAGATCCCCCCCGTAGCGATAACGCATGGAACGTGCCGCAGGCGTGAATGCACGGATCCTAACAGGATTCTTGAACGCCATCCATGGACATGTGAGGAGGTCGGAGGAGCAGGAGGAGGGGGGGCGGTTGGTTACATGTTAGGCCAGAAAAATAATCGATCACACGAAATTTGCATATTGAATGTGATACGTTTGTGGGCCCACCGAGATTTTCCAGAATTGGCGCTCTGCGTTTGGATTTTAGAGGTGTACACAGGATTTGCGGTGAGCGCAGGAGTGTACACAAGCCACAAGTTGAAGCACTGTGGTGAACGCGCGCGCGAGGGGATGCGGTGCACGGCTGCTGGTGGCGCAAGCATCGCGATGTTTATTGGCGTTGTGGTGAACGAGCTGCGGGCCCAAAATGTAGGGCGGATCGTGCCCCAGGCCGGAAGCATCAATAATCACGAATACTTGACATATTGAATGTGATAGGGTCGGGCTTACCACGATTTTCTAGAGTTTGGGTCCCGTCGGTTACGCAGGCTCTGAGGTGCATTGTGTTGGTCGCAGTCGCTATGCGCTGTGGTGCACTCGGCTGCTGCGGTTGTGCAAGCATCATGTTGGAAGGCTTTGTGGTGCACGCAGGCATTGTGAACCCAAATCACAGGGTGGACCGTATCCCAGGCCAGAAAAAACATCATCACACTTAACTTACACATTTAACTTGATACATTCGTGTCCACCACGGTTTTCTGGAGTTTGGACCTCGTCGGGATTGTGGTGTACATGCTTTGTGATTGGCGCAGGCGTTGCCGTTTACACACGAACTGTGGTGCACACAGGCGGTTGTTGTGCCGGTGCAAGAGGCTATTGTGGTCTGGATTGGCGTTGTGGTGTGCACCAGTGTTCTGGTGCACGCAGGCCCTGCGGTGTACATTGACGCTGCGCAGGCGCCTTGGTGCAATGGTGCACGCAGGCACCATGGTGTGTACAAGGTGTTGTCGCGCACTCGGCTGCTGCGGTGCACAGATGCAAGATGCCGTACACGGGCGACGTGGTGCTATCGTGCACGCGGCCGCCAGGGTGTACAGGGGCACTTGTGAAATACCAGAGGCGCCGTGATGCACGCAGACGTTGTCGTGCACACAAGGACCTGTAGTGCACACGGGCGACTGTTGCGCCGGTGCTGCGGGCGCGCCACGCCGGCCGCCGTTACCGTTACCCCCCATCGCCGACCCCCCTTGTAACACGAGTTATCCCCAGTGGATGAGAGCAACTTTTCCTCATCCTTTCCATCCGCCTCCTCGTCCTCGTCGTTATTCTTCTCAAATTACTGGCGCCTCGTGTTCGTTTCGTTGAGTTTGGCCGCCGCGCCCCGCCATCAGTCATTGTCTCGGTCCCTGTACGGGCCCCCTTGTCTTCTTCGTCTTACAGCCCTGCTGAAAAAGTACCTTCGGCCCTGCCCAGGTGAGTACATAGGTTCGGTCACTTGTTATGTTTTCGGTAATTCTGCACTACTGCGATGTTTCACACGTGTGTGTGTGTGTGTGAGTCCGCAGGCTCCTCTTGGCCCGGGAGTGTTACGAGCGTGAGAAATATCATGCGCCACCCTCCGTCCTAATCTCACTTGATGTGCGTTAGCGCATTAGTCACGGCGACCGCGGCGGCAGCGGAGCCGACTTTGGCGAGGGCTGGGAGTCGGCAGGGGCGCCTCCGACGAGCTCGCGACGCGCTTCGCGGACTGGCCCACCTGCATCGTGTTCGGGATGAAGCAGGAACCTCCTGCGCCCCCCCCTCCCTCCGTGACACACCCGACTCCCCCCTTCGAGCTTCGAGGTCCGGGCGCGTCTCCGCCTTCTCCGGGCCTCTGCGGGGGGCCCTCGTCGCCACGGATGGGCCCGCCTCGAAGTGACCAGCACGCACCCCGGAACGGGTCCAGCGAGGGGCAGGGGGGGGAGGAAGAGGAGGAGGAGGAGGAGGAAGCGGAGGAGGAGGAGGAGGAGGAGGCGGAGGAGGAGGAGGAGGAGGAGGAGGAGGAGGAGGAGGAGGAGCGCGGGCGTGTGCAGGCCCAGGGGCTCGGCCCCGGATGGCGGCGTGCAGCGGGTCCAAGGGGGGTCCACCTTTGACCTCCCCGCCCCGTGGCCCCCCCGCGCTGTGAGAGCAGCGAGATCGCACGGCGGCAGGCGGTTGGCAGCCCTCGTGTCTCGGGGGCCCCCGGCCGCGGGCGGGAGTGCGGGGCCTTCTTTCGCGGGTGCGCCGCGCGGAACCTGTCGATGCGACCGCGTATCCACAGGATCCGCCTCAGAATCGCCCTCACTCTCCCTCCCTCCCTCCCTCCCTCCCTCCCTCCCTCCCTCCCTCCCTCCCCTCTCGTCCTCCTCCACCTTCTGGTCCCCCCCCCGCGACAATCGAGACAGGCCTTTACAGATGATCTAGACATCATCGCTCCTTCATCCATGTATCTCCCTCCCTCCTATCCCTCGCTGTCCCTCCCAGTTCAACCTTCAAGCATGTCCCAGAACGCGTTGGGGCTTTTCAGAATTGGGCCACTTTTTGCTAACAGTGAGAAGCCTTCCTTCCTCTCGCCCTTTCTCCCCCTTCCCTCCCTCCTCCCTCCTACACCCCTCCTTCCCCTTCCCTCCCCCGTCCGCCCTTCTCTTCGACAAGCTCATATCACTCAACACGTTGTACAATCCCGCGCCTCCTCCGTCAACTTTCTCAAATCTTTCTCCTCCTCAGCCTCTTTCGTCCGTCCTTCCTTTCTCGCCTCTCCCCCCCCCTTCCTCTTCCCCTCCTTGGTCCTCCTCCCCCTCCCGTGCTCCTCCCTGGAGATGAGGAGGATGCGGGGGAGAAGGAGGATCATGGGGAAGAGGAGGGTGGGGGATAGAGGAGGAGGAAAAAGAGGACGATGAGGAGGAGCATTGAGA